GCAAGTCTTCACACTAACAAAATGCACAGCTTTGCACACTGTAACAAGGTAGAGATCTGCACAACCTTCAGGCCATCAGGAAAAAGAAATCAGGCATTAGAGAAGCACTCCAACAAAACAAGATCCTGCCTTATACCCAGAAAACAAATGATTTTCAGTTAAACATAGCTTGTCATTTGTGGTTATAGAAAACAATAATTAAATTCTGTGCTCCGGGAAACAGGAAATGGTGAATGAGCCAAATACATAAAAGCTTGAACAGTGCCTGATCGTTTAGGGTGTAGGTCAGCATTCCTTATGACAGTCATCTCTTTTGTTACAGGAATGCAAACTGAACTGAATGTACTTGTGTGTTTTAGGGGTAATGAGAAATAAAAAAAAAAAAAAGTCTTAACTCCACAGATTTTCCTGTGTGAAGCAAGTCAGCAGCAGCCAGCATGAACGTTCTTTAAAGAGGACTGGAAGGACTTCTCCAGCTCAGTTCCTGTTCACATTATTTTTATGTGAACCGAAATATAATCAAGGCAGCAAGGGAAGAAAACAGCACAGCCTGCAAGGCTGGCAGCAAGAGCAGGAAAGTGAACACAGCCTGCAAGACTGTCTCTGGCTCTGTCCCTACCTCTACTCTCATCCCCCACCGTTCCATCTCCACTGGGACCATTCAACCCTGATTTATTCTCCTTGCATGAGGCTCTTCATGTACCTTTCACAGCGTGGCTCCTTTAAGTCTGACCTTTCATTAAGTAACTCCTGATTCCCTATTAGCTTTAACTAAATTGCATGACTGTAGAGAGAGTGAACTTAGTGACTTTCACTCCTAAAAAACTGCCATGATTCTCTTAATTAAGCAGAGATTATTTTTGTTCCCACATCAAGGACCCTGATGGTTCAGATCCATGGGAACTAGCAAAGCTTTCCTCGAAGGAAGGCTCAGGGAGTGGTGAAACCTTCCTCTGGTCCAAGTATGAGAATTTACAGAAGATTGACCAGTGTGTACAAAAACTAGCAACTGTAGCTTCCTTCTCTTGGGTGGCTACAACTTGAGATGACTCCTCTACTGATACTCCCTAACTCCTCCTTTTGGTGTTGAACATAATAAACATGCTGAGGTTCCAAGCTGTTGTGCTTAGTTCATCCTGATCCACCAGAGAGAGCACAGCCCACCAGATCCCAGACTTTCTGTACCTTTATCTGCTCATCACCCCATACTGATTTCCAGGACCAACGAATTCAGAACATGGCTGCATCCTTTAGGGTTTGTATTTACTATTATATACTGCTATTATTATCCAATTTGACAGTAAGCACCTTAATAATCACACCTGCATAGCCAATGGTTGAGTTGTAGTGGGCATTGACTATCTTGTAAACCAATGAATTAAGTAATTAATGAAAGACTAATCACATCTCTTACTATTTTTAGAACAGAATACATATTTTCAGCATTTTCTGAGCTAGAAAGAAATGACTGAGGACTGGTATTAGTGAATTTCCTTCTAATTGGGAAAGGATACCTGAGAAAAACCTTAAGGGTACAGGATTTATTTTGGCTCATCTGTCAAGGTACACTGCCCATGGTGGTGGGAAAAACATGATGGCAAAACAAGTGGTAGCTGGCTAAACAGTCTCAGCAGTCAGGAAGCCACAAGTAGCACTAACCAAAAAACTCTCCACCAATCGGTCACCTACTTCCCCCAGATTCTCAAAACAGTGATACAACCTAGGAAGCAAGCACTCAAAGATATGAGACTGTAGGGAACATATGTCATTCAAACCATAATATTCCATCTTTGCTCCCAATACATCCATGGCCATCTCATTATTAACAAATGCACTCAGTGCAACTTCAAATTCCTAACCGTTTCAAAAGTCCAAAGTCTCTTTGGAGACTCAAGACTGTCCACACATTTCCCTTCATTTTCATGCACTTCCAGAATTCTAGAATTCACTCCAACACAGATCCACATTCATTCAGACCCTTCCTGAAGTCCAGTTGCAAAAGCCTACAGGCTACTCTAGTGTAGCCACCATCACAGGAGCAACCCCACACCACAGTATTTCTTTCCTCTATTGTAACAGAATAGCTGACATAAGCAACCTTAGAAAGGAGGGATTGCTTTTGTCCCCTGTCTGAGCAGATACAGTGCATCCCTGCTGAAGACACAGGGGAGTATAGGACAGCTTCTGCTTGTAGTAGTAGAAACTTGAGGCTGCTTGCTTCATCTCTACCAATCAGAAAACAGAGCTTAGACCAAAGTGCAGCCAGACTATGACTCACAACCCTGTGATCAGTACTTGCTACAAGGCCTCACCTCTTGCAAGTTCCAAAGACATCAAAACCACCACCAGTGGAGTACCAAGTGTTCAACCACATCAACCTAATGGGGGCATTTCACATTCCAACCTGCACAGGCCCCATGCATCAGTATCTACATCCCTAATGCACCTCCGGAAAGCTCTTTCTCTGAAATTCAAGGCCCAGAAAAAAAAAGGAAATCAAATGATGACAGTGAGATTGATACTGAAGTCCTACAATTTTAGCATCAATGACATGTGCATTCATATGAGTGAGGGGTAGGTAATGTATCTCTCAACAAGTAGGCTTTTCCATTTAACTTAAAGCCACCTCATACTTGAATTTGGGGTTTTCTATTATGTTACAGTCAGACATTTGGGTTATCCCAAGTGTATGTTGCAAAATTCTTCCCAGGCAATTAGCATAAGCATACCCAATCTCTTCCTTCAGTTTCAATGGAAAACATTTCTCCTATTGACATCACTAAAACAATGGCCCCATTGTGCGAGGAACAGCTCCACACCCACAGCGATCTGCCCTGCAGATTTCAGTGTGTGACTTCATCATTTTATATGCTCTTTTCAAAGACAGACAAAAGCAATAGGCAGTAAAAAGTCATAATATTCACCACTTTGTGCTTTTCTGTAAATTACAGAGTGAAAAATACAATGCCACAAGATAAATCTGCTTTCATTATAATAGAGAAGTCTACATAAAATCAGATAAATCCCATTCCAAGGGAACAATTTCTTTCAGACTTAACTATAATCCTGTCAAACTTAAAAATGCCATACTGATTTTTTTCTCTCATTTCTGCTTGAAATATTAATTAACAAAAAGCATTTATGTTTTCTGGGATTTTGTTTTTTTATTTTTTTAATGGAGTATGCTGGATGCCTCTACAATTTTGTTTAAATTATTGCAGATTCTGGAAAAGCTGTTGCTGCTATTGATGCAAAACATAATTTGAATGTTTTGGAAACGTTAGCTGTGCTGTCAACTTTGGAAAAAAGTTTACATCCCAGTTTACTATGTTGAGTTGGCATTGTACAGAAATTAATAGCCATATTGGTCTAGAAATGTTGAACTTAATTTTTTTCCATTTATACAGGGGTAACATACTGTATTAAATATGTAAGGTCTTAAAAGTATTCTCTAAATAAAAAAAACAAAAAGCATTTAACACCAACTAACACCTACATCCATGCACTGATCACATAGCATTGCACAAATGAAAGGCAAGAAGACGTTTTTAATTGTAAAATGAAGGAGGAAATCATTGGGTCATTTTGAAGAAAAACACATATAGTGTTGTGCCGATGTACAGAAAGCTACAAGAAGTTGTTAGGCCCCAACTATTAAAGAGGATAACATCCTGGTGAGTATCTGTAGTTTAATAATTAGCAATGCTAGAAGTCAGATAGCTCAGCAGGAATGATAGCTCCTTCCAACATCTACCTTCCAACACCTTCCTTAAGATATCCAAATGTCAGGTGTAGAAAAACTAGGTTGACAACATGAGGAAACATGAAAGTTCTCACTTGCTAGGTTTGCTGTAGTTCTGCAGACACAGAACACCCAAAACTGTAGGCTAAGACACTCTTGTGGGGCAGTTTCAGCACACAGGTCTAGACTAATTAAAAGAATTAGACCATGAATAAATAAGAGGGACAGCAAAGGCAGAGGTCCCATAGAGAACATGGCTGCAGTGTCTCTCCTGAAAACAACTCTAGGAGGAGTGTTTGACATTAAGCTGAAAACCATTTGACAAGCCTGAACTTCCCCTTAAAAGTAGATAAAATTATCTGTCTTAAAAAGGAATTCCAGAAGGATCTCAAAGAAGTATAAGAAATGAAGGAATAAAAAAAAAAGAAATGAAGGAATAAAGAGTAAAATGATGTTCCCATAAGTAGTGATATACCCTGGGAAGACCTATCTACAAAAGATTCGAACTAACTTAGTGTTTAATATGCTAAATGAAATTATAAACAATCAGCCTTTGAATACTTAGAAACAACAGGAAAAACCCCCACTCATTGCAGAAATAAAGAGGAAAGAAAATTAACAGATCTTCTCATGCTTGGAAAGAAATACAAAGTAGAAAGTAAACAAAAAAGTGAAAGTAATAATTAAACATGTACATCCATCTAAAAGGGAGGAACCTCTAAAGAGAAAAATTAAAGTAACAGAAAATACTAATATGGATAACACAAGATTAAATAATAAAAAAGCACTTTAAATACATCAGAATACTCACCAGAAGTAGCCACTATGAACTGATCTTTAATAAATCAGTTGGCCCATGGTTCTCCAACTGTGGGTCACCACCCCTCTGGCTATCCAATGACCTTTTCACAAGGATCACATATCAGATATACTACATATCAGAAATTCACATTACAATTCTTAACTGCAGCAAAATTACAGTTGAAGTGGCAAAGAAATCATTTTGTGGTAGGAAAATAATTTTATGGTTATGAGGGGCTGTGTTAAGGGTGACAGCATTAGGAAGGTTGAGAACCACTGCCCAAGAGGAATGGATGGGAAGGAGCATACTTCAATCATGGTATTGGGAGAATGAAGGATCTTGGGGAAGAGGAAACAGCAACATTAGGTTTGAATGGTTTGTGGGCTTTTCAAGGAAGACATTTTTACATCACAAAAATTTGTGGCAGCTAATCCTACTGAATCTGTGAGTACTTACATTTAATTCATTTCTTAGCACTTCCTTGAGAAGATACCCTACAGATTCTTCATCTTTTGTGTTCTCAATCACACAAATCTCTTGTGAAATTTTCTCTGAAATTAAAAATAGAAAAACTTTTTAAACTTTATCATTCAAAGAAAACATAGAACAAAGCCTTAGTTTCCAAAAACTTGTGCTTGCTTTAGTTTCATCACCCTTGAGTAAGACAAGGGACAATCTAGCTCCAGAACATGACCTACATGCCAAGACATCCTTGATTCTGTGTACCAGGTACGCCAATGCATCCATACATTAAACACTATGTAGTGAACAACCATCAAGCATATACATGAGAAGTGAGAAATCTTGGTTTACATCTTACAGGGAGTAACTAGAAGTGACAGTCATTTACATGACCACTGCCATCTTTCCTTGTTCATGAGGAGTCTCCCTGATTCTCAGACATTCCCACTTACAGACAGATATTTTCTAAATCATGCCCAGATTTTCCTTGGCATGCATCTAGATTATCAATTCAATACGGTTCGGTTCCTGTTTGGACTCTTACCACAGCAAATGAAAATGGTTGAACTTTCCTCAAGTTAGCTTATTTAAGATAGCTTAAAAGTTACAATGCAAACCATGTGTCATGGTGGTATTCACCTTTGAACTTTCTGTGCATTCTCCCAAGAGATATGAAGTCCTCTATAAGCAATCCTAGGTACTAAAGAGCATCACTACAGCTGCCAAGCACCACATCTTGAACTGGGACAAAAAAAAATTCCAATTTGAAATAGTATTTCCCAATCAAAACTGGGTTGGTCAACATTTGACCTTGCTGTATCACACATCAGTGGCTTGTGTAATATATTTTCTACAAGAATTAATCAATTATTAATCTTTTCAAGCAAAGCTAGAAAAGACAGTTAAAATAATATCTGTTAACAATACTCCAGTTACTAATTCCCAGTTTACCAAGAACCCTGTTGTTCAAAAAGCTATACTAATATAGAGAACATGGTGGCCATGGAGGAAAGCATTATTATGAATATGTACAGTGAAGTCAGAGGCCCTCAATGCAGAGAAGGGGATTGACATTCATAAGATCCCAGGGTTCTTATGAAATCCAGGGTTCCAGTAGAAAAGGGACACAAAACCAAAAATACTATATTTAGAGACCTGTAGGTACCCAAGATAGCCTAAGTGGGGATAGAGGGAAGAGCATCGAACACTTAGTGAACCTTTTAACATTCCCATGTTCTTTCATTGTCACTGTTGTATTTAATGCCTCAATGTATGTCTGTATTAATGTCTAAGTGTTGTTATTGCTGTTTTCACTTCAGGATATTTAAATAAAGGTCTTCTTAAAGATCACACCTTCCTAGAGTGATACCACCCTTGCAATAGATGCTAGAAAAGGCTGTTCACACCCTCTTTGCTCAGACCCTTCAGTCGAGAAAACTAAGCATATGTAAACAAAGTAATTCCAATAGAATGAGATCAAGAGAGTCCCTCTTCTGAATATGGATCGGCCTCACTAAATTATCCTATCTTGATATCACCTCATCTCTAGGGAATTTGTTGGCTTACTTGCTAAGGGTCTGTAGATACACAACCCTAATAAAATCTAGTGTGGTGAAGAATGGAGACAGAGGAGCCAGCCTGTAAGTGGTGTGGAATATCACCAAGTTATGAAACACAGTCTGCTGACAAAATACATGATTCTGTACAATTAAATGGGATTAGAACTTACCCTAGGAAGGCAAGTAGGTTTTTCTTAGGAGTGGAAGCAAGGAATTTGAAGAATTCACAGAGATAAAAGTGGAAATTGAAAGATTCAGGCTTTGACGCTGATCGGCTCTACCTCTTTAAGAGACAGACACCACCCCCTGACAATACTCAGGGCATTCGCAAGAAAATGTGCTACGTCATCACCACGTCACCCACCACCGGCATGCGTGGAACCTCAGTGTGCATGTCCAGTCTTCCTTTTAAAAGTGCCAACTTTCCTGCTTCTCTCGCTCTCTGCTTCCTCTCTCTACCCTCTTTCTCTGTTTCTTCTTGGCTCTCTCTCATCTATGTACTCTCTCTGCCTCTATGGCGACTGGCCATGGCGGTCAGCCATTACCCCTGTACCTCTTCTCTTAGTCTCCATACTCTGCTGGGCCCGTATAATAAACTAGTCAATATGTCTCATCTTGCAGCTTTCTCTTTTCCTCTTTTTAAATAAAAACATAACATTGGCGCCCCCAGTCCCAAATTCCCTTCCCTCACCTTGGGACACCTCGGGAACCCCTCCCTCGCCTTACAATCTTCCCTCAAATACCAGGACCTAAGAAAAAATTTTTTCTAAACTTAACCTTGTCCTCTGCTCTGCGAAAATCTTGCCAGGTCTAAATGGCACCACGAAGTACCATACGGCCTGGACTGCAATGAAATAGCAATCAACCCCAGGACATGGCAGCACCCCAAACCCCCAAAGACAGTCAATGCCCCAGGTCACCAGAAAGCAGCCTTGAGATTTCTTCGCCCCTACTTCCCTAACCTGCCATGTCCAATTCGCCAACTTTTATAATAAACAACAGCCAGGATTGTAAGAACAATACACCTCAATGACCTCACCCCCTAACAATGGGGCACGCCCTAAGACTTGCTAAGTCACCACCATGTCACCCACCATGCATTTCGGCCTGTGTGAGGACTGTGCAGGTGCAAAACCCCAGTGCGAATATGCAACCTTCCCTTTAAAAGGTCCTGCCTCCCATCTCTCCTTCTTTCTTTTGGCTCCTCTCGGGTTGGCTGACAACCCAGCCCCACCCTTCAGGTAAATAAACTCCACATGGGTTGTTCATCCGTTGTTCCTTTCTTTATATCAGCAGCTGCAGCTTAAACAAAAGAATAACAGAAATAAGATAAAAATAGATTGAGGTAAGAAAAGGGCCCATTGTTCTCCCCCTCTGTCTCTCTCCCCACTCAGTCTTATGGGGTTAGGGAGAAACCCGGTGCTAGAGAAATTCTCCTGAATTCACAAAGATGACCCCAGCTAAGACTCCTAGCAATAATGAAAAGGGTGTCTGAATAGACCTTCCCCTTTAATCAGATTAGTGACTACCCTAATTGTCATCATAGAGTCTATATCCAGTAACTGATAGAAACAGCTACAGAGATCCACAGCCAAGCACGGGATGACCTCCTGGAGTTCAGCTGAAGAGATCAAGGAGGGATCATATGAAAAAGGGAGTCAAGACCATGATGGGAAAAACCTCAGAGACAGCTGACCTGAGCTAGTGGAGGTTCATGGACAATGGACTGGCAGCTGCGGAGCCTGCGTGGAATGAACTAGATCCAATGAATGTGGGACAGTTATGTAGGGGAAACTATAGCCACGCCTACTTAGGGGCTGGCTACAGGTGTGCCTGACCATGCTTTCGAGGGCATGGTCAGAGTGATGTAGAGTGACTGCCTTTTCTCTTTTGGTTTCACTTTGGGACTTGCGGGACAGACTGCTGCCACACAGGCTGGCTAGGTCGCTCTGTAAGTAAGGCTTTTCCCTATTAAATACTCTTATATTTCCACTTGGCTCCATATTGGTAATTTCCCACTATACAGTTATGTGACTTGATCTGTGTGGGAACCCCTGAGAGTGGCACCAGGACCTATCCTAGGTGCATGAGCTGGCTTTTTGGAGCTCATTCCCTATGATGGGTGTCAGTGACCAAATAGTTCCATTATGGAATGTCTTAAGGTCCAGCCTCCAGTTTCACTAAACAGGAGCACCTGGGAGCTCTGGCCCACTATTGTATTGCTAATTCGAGCAAGTCTGCTATCCTTTAGCATAGCCTCAGTGTGGAATATCTCCTAGTTTGCATCTCTACAGAACTAAGTATTTGAATAACCTGCACCTGGGCAGAGGTGCTAGATGTGTAAGTAACAAATAAGGACAGAGAGTTAGGAGCCATCTAGCCAAGAGGAGTCAACAGAAGGACAGAAATGGCCTCCTGGTAGCCATAGAAGCATGGTTAAGAAACAGCCAAGAAAGAAGATGCTAAATAAACAAGAAACTCTGGTTTTACAGCATGGAACTGAGAGCTCTCAAAAGATGACAAGATGCCTCTGTTTGGTCTTTATCGCTATTGAGTTGCTAGGAGTTTCCAAGCCCACGCTCCAGCACTCAGGCCCAACCTCATGGCTGTCGTGGCTTGGAGCCCAGACCGGCCAGGCTATGACAGATGGGTACCTTGCTCAGCCTTCATACAGGGGGAAGGGCTTATTCCTCCTTCAACTTGGTTTGCCAGACTTTGTTGAGTCCCCAAGGAACGCCTTATCCCCTATGAGGAGTGTATGGGGATGGGAAGGGGGAAGGCAGGGGTGGGAAAGGGGGAATGAGTGGAAACTGGGGTTGGTATGTAAAATGAAAAATAATTTTTTTAAATAAATAAAGGAAAGGACCCATAAGTGTAGTGTGACCAATAGGCAGCAAAATTAGTAGAAAGTGTTAGACAGGAAAGGCTATGGCAGGATATCTAGCAAGGCCAAGTCATTTGATCCTCCAACCAAAGTCTTTGAAATGAAGCCAACACAATTAATATATATAAACTTAAAATATTTACAAGGAAATATGGCTCTCCAGAATCCTTACAAATGCCTAGAAATATTTCTGAATGTTTCTAATGCACAAAAGGTTGAATGTGTGACAACAAAGTAGCCTACCAAAATCAATGTGTCAGCACTACAATCATTTTTGACAAATTGATAAACTACAGATAATTAAGAATTGTTTCACGCCGGGCGTTGGTGGCGCATGCCTTTAATCCCAGCACTCAGGAGGCAGAGGCAGGCAGATCTCTGTGAGTTCGAGACTAGCCTGGTCTACAAGAGCTAGTTCCAGGACACAGCTACCTCCAAAGCCACAGAGAAACCCTGTCTTGAAAAACAAAACAAAACAAAAAAGAATTGTTTCAAATAAAAAAGTAACATAAATTATTCCTTGTTTGATTACATATTCCTATGCAAGTATACCCCCTCTGCTCAAGGTAGATGACTAGTACCAAAACAAGTAACTTACTTTCTAGCAGTCTTCCATCACTTTAAAACAAATGTAGACTAAATATGA